CACATGAGACATCATGAAACAATAAAACAAAGTCAAACATTAAAAAACAGAAGAAAATATGAAATATCTCATCAGAAAACAACTGACCTACCTGAAAGCCATGACCAAAAAAGTTTAGACATCACCTTTCAAGAAATTATAAAAGAATGCATGCCATCTTGGGGTGTGGGGAGGGGCAAGATGGAAAGAAATTTTGGAACTCAAAATTTTGTGGAAGTGAATGTTGAAAATGAAAAATTAATAAACATTTAATATAAAAAAATTATAAAGGAAAACTGCCCTGATATCTTAGATCCAAAGAGTAAAAGAGAAAATGAAAGAATCCAATCACTTCCTGAAAGAGATCTCAAAATGAAAACTCTCAGGAATATTATAGACAAATTCCAGAGTTCCCAGGTCAAAGAAAAATACTTCAAGCAGTCAGAAAGAAACAATTCAAATATCATGGAGCCACAATCAGAATCACACAAGATTCAGCAGCTTCCATGTTAAAGGATTGGGGACTTGGAATATGATATTCTAGAAGGCAAGAAATCACCTACTTAGCAAAACTGAGTACAATACATCAGAGAAGAAATTGAAATTTAATGAAACAAAGCACTTTCAAGCATTCCTGATGAAAAGACCAGAGCTGAATAGAAAATTTGATATTGAAACACAAGACTCAAGAGAAGCATAAAAAGGTAAATATGACGGAGGACTGTACTAGGAAGATAATACACCTAACTCCTAAAAATCTTATCATTATTAGAGTAGCCAAAAGGAGTTTGCGGGGCAGCTAGGTGGCGCAGTGGATAGAGCACCGGTCTTGGAGTCAGGAAGGCCTGAGTTCAAATATGGACTCAGACACATAACGCTTACTAGGCGTGTGACTCTGGGCAAGTCACTTAACCCCAACTGCCCTGCAAAAAAAAAAAAAGGAGTTTGCATAGACAAAGGGCACGGATATGAGTCAATTATGTTGGAATGATGTCCAAAAAAATAAAAAAGGAGAGAGGGAAGCACTGGCAGAAAAGGGAAGAAAGAGGTAAAACAGGGCAAATTTTCTCACATAAAAGAGGCACACAAGGAAGAGCTTTTACAATGGAGAGAGGCTGCAGGCAATGCTTGAACCCCATTCTCATCTGAATTTGTTAAAAGAGAGAAGAATACATATACATACTCAGTTGTGTATACATAGGAAAACACCCTATATGAAAAACAGGAGGGGAAGGGGATAAAAAAAGAGAGGGAAGAATGAAAAAAGCACATTAAGAGAGGCAGCAGCTAGAAGCAAATAGACTTTTGAGAAGGTACAGGAGAAAAAGAAAATGGGATGGAGGGAAATACAGTTAGTAATCATAATTATGAATGTGAATGGGACTAGCTCACTCAATAAACTGGAAGTAGATAGCAGAACAGATTAGAAATCAGACTCCAACAATATGTTTTTTACAAGAGACACAACTGGGGGCAGCTAGGTGGCACAGTAGATAGAGCACCGGCCCTGGATTCAGGAGGACCTGAGTTCAAATCTGACCTCAGACACATAGCACTGACTAGCTGTGTGACCCTGGGCAAGTCATTTAACCCCATTGCCTAACCAAATAAAAAACAAAAACAAAAACAAAAACAAGAGACAATTGAAATAGAAAAACACACAGAGTTAAAATGAAGGGCTAAAGCAGAATCTAATATGTTTTAACTGAAGTGTGGTATTCAGTCATGTCCAACTCTTCATGACCACATTTGTGGTTTTCTTAGCAAAGATATTGGAGTAGTCTGCCATTTCCCTGTTCAGATTATTTTACAGATGAAGAACCGAGGCAAATAGGGTCAAGTGACTTTCCCAGGGTCACACAGCTAGTAAGTGCCTGGAGCGCAACTGAACTCATGAACTTCCTGATTCCAAGTCCAGTGCTCTATCCACTGTGCCATATAGCTGCCCTTCAGCTGAAGTAAAAAAGGCAGGGGTAGTAATCATAACCTCAGACAAAGCAAAAGCAAAAATACACCTAATTAAAAGAGATAATCAGGGAAACTACATTATGTTAAGAGATACTACAGGCTAGGATGTAATATCAAAAAATTTTACAGCAAGTTTCTCTGATAAAGGCCTCATTTCTCAAATGTATACTGAGTATAGAACTGAGTAAAATTTATAAAAACAAAAACCATCCCCCAATTGGTAAATGGTCAAAGGATATAAACAGGCAGGTTTCAGAAGAAATCAAAACTATCTATAGTTACATGAAAAAATGCTCTAAATCATTGTTGATGATACCACCTCACAACTATCAGAAATGACAAATGCTGTAGGGGATGAGGGGAAAATAGGTACACTAATAAACTGCTGGTGGAGTAGTAAACTGACCCAACCATTCTGGAGAACAATTTCAAACTAGGCCCTAAGGCTATAAAACTGTGCCTACCCTAGACCCAGCAATATCAATATTAGGTCTGCATTCCAAAGAGATCAAACAAAAAGGAAAAGGACCTACATGTACAAAAACATTTATAGCAACTCTTTTTTGGGGTAGCAAACAATTGTAAATCTAGGGGATGCTCATCAATTGGGGAATGGCTAACCAAGCTGTGGCATATGATTATGATTGAGTCCTACCATATCAGAAATGGAGTCCTACCTACCAGGAATGACCAGGAGGGAGGTTCAGAAAAACATGGCAAGACCTATAAGAACTGATGAAATGTGAAGCGAGAAGAACCAGAGTACACAGTGACAGCAATGTTATAATGATGTTCAACTGTGAAAGACTTGGTTACTCTGTTCAATACAATGAACCAAAACAATTCCAAAGGATTCATGGTGAAAAATGCCATCCATGTCCAGAGAAAAAACTGATGAACTATCCAAATTGGAGTATAATTTTCTCACTTTATTTTTCTTGCTTTTTTGCAATATGGCTAATATGGAAATATGTTTTGCATGATGGCACATGCATAATATCATATTGCTTACCTTCTCAGTGGGTGGGGGAAGGGTAGGAGGTAGAGAGAGAATTTGGAACTCAAAATTTTAAAAGATAAAAATGTGAAAAATAAATAAATTAAAATGTTAAAAAAAACTTAAAAAAACAAAAATATATCCAATTTTAATCAGGTTTTTAAAAAGAGATACTCACCATCTCCTAAAAGAAGATAAGGAGTGTTGGAGAAGAATAAAAAAAATGCACAGGGTTGGATGCACCTGATTAATAAGACCAGTGGAGGGCCTTGTTCATAGTAGATACTTTGTTAAATGTGCAATGATCAGGCTGAACTCCATTTTCCAGGAACAGAGGGATTTTTAGTATAATTTGTGAGATATAATGAAATTGTGTAACTTTTCTTATATCTGCTACTTTAATCCTATTTATTTCCCTGTACTTAGGACCACTGAAATCACTGGAGTGGTTGCTAACTCCAAGGCTAGAGGAAAGAAGCGTGAAGAAGCCAGAAGTCGTTTCCCATTATGCAGTGAGTCTAGGAAAAGAAAACCCCAAGTTGGAAATATTAGGTTATGACAGGAGGAAGAAGTAGGCAGGCCATTCCCTTCGGATCAAGTGAGAAATGTTAACAGGAGCCAATCAATGCTAACCAGTATCTCCTGTGCCCAAATAGTCCCCACCCCCACCCCAACGCCCAAGAATGTGGACTCACCAAGCAGATCCAAGCATCATCACCCTGGTGTACACAATTTAGGCACAGAAACCTCTCTGGCAGGCTGAGGTATACAAGTAGCCAAGAGAAGGCCAGCAACAGCTCATAACTGCCATAAGAGCCATCTTCAGAAAGCTGGTAAAAATGTCGTCTCCCATAGCCATAGCAGCACAGTACCCACTTTACAAAACGGATCTGGCCCTCTGAAAAGGGGATATAGAGAACATAAATTCACATCAGATCAATCAGGGGAATACTCTCCAAAATATTCTCTCCTTCCCTTACTACTACCCTAAGCCCCTGAGAGAACAGTCTCCTCACCATCTCACTATACAGCATGTACATCCCTACTTCAATGTTTCTACTTAGTTCTACCTCCTCTTGTCTAAATCTGGCCCATCTCTTTTACTAAGTCTTCTCTGGCCTATCAAAGTGATCATCTCCTTCTCTGAAATCATCTGGGATTTTGCACTGATCAAACTCAGTCTTGTAAAATTCTTTATCTTTTTAATACAAAAGGTATCCATATGCTCCCCAAGCTATGAGCCCCCTGGTGGCAAGGTCTGAATCTGCTCCTTCCTTTGTAGAATCACATAATGTGATGATTCTGGAATCATCAGATTGAAAGGGACTTCAAAGATTATCTGGGGCAGCTATGGGCACAGCAGATAAAGTGCTGGGCCTAGAGTATGGAAGACCTGAGGTCAAATCTGGCCTCAGACACTTACCACTTGCATGACCCTAGGCAAGTCACTTAATGTTTGTCTGTCTCAGTTTCCCCAACTGTAAAATGGAGATCATAATAGCACTTACCTCTCAGGGTTGCTATGAGGATTAAATAAGATAAGATTTGTAAAGTCCTTAGCACAGTGCCTAACACACAGTAGGCACTTAATACTTATTTCCTCCCTTCCAACCTGGACCTGACCAAGAATTTCCTCTAATAAATGTCATCCAGCCTTTGTCTGAAGACTTTCAGTAAAGAAGAACCCATTAGTCACCCAGAAAGCTATTCTATATTGAGAGATCTCAAATTGTTAGGAAAGTTATCAACCCCAAATTTTCTTCTTTATACCTTCATCCATTGCTCCTAGTTCTGTACTCTGCAAAAGGAGAAAAAGTCTCATCCTTCTTCCATCTGACAATCCTTTAAATATCTGAAAACATCTATCATTTCCCCTTAAGTCTTCTCTTTTCCAGGATAAACATCCCAGTTCCTTCAACTAGTCCTCATAGCATGATTTCAAGGCCCTTCACTACCCTAGTAAGCCTTCTCTCCAGTTTATCCATTACTTTCCTCATACTAAACATAATATTCTAGATGTGATCTGACCAAGGCAGAACAAAACTATCACCTCCCCAGTACTGGACACTATACTGGACACCTTAATATAGACTCAGATCCATTACTTTTTTTGGCTACCACCATTTGTTGACTGCACCTCTGCACACACACTATGTCCTCTGGAATTGCCATTTTCATTCTGGACCTCTTTCTCTTAAACTCCTTCCACCTACTTGTACTTACAGAGACATGGCTCCCCTCCTTAGCCCCTAACCCCCTAGATAATACAGCATCCCTCTCCAGCACAAGCTTTCTCTCTTCCCAAAACCCTGTCATACTTGTCAGAAGGGGAAATCAGAATACTTCCTGTTCTCCCACTTTAACTTTTTTTTCTCCTTCTGTCACTGTCAATCAGTTACTTCTCTTCCTTTTCACCTAATACAAATAATAGTTGTTATAGTCTACCAGCAACCAAGTCATTGTCCCTCATTGCTCAAAAAGTTAAGTACCAGCTTCCTGTCTTCCTCACCTCCCCAGCTCCTGCCCTTCAACATTCGTCTAGAGCCTCTCTCAAACATCCTATCTTTCCAAACCCTCAATCCTCTCAAATCCCACAACTTTTCTTCCGTTCTACCTCAACTATGCACAGGAAAAATCACACCCTGAATTTCATCACTATCTAAGAGAGTTCCAATAATCAAAAAGTATGACATTCCTTTATCTGACCATCTTTCCATCTTTCCCTATGCCTCATCCTCCTAAACCTATTCTTTGTCCACATCATGGCTGCCAATGCCTCCACTCCTCAATATTTTGTTAGGCCTTTATTGCTGCTCTGATTTCACTTTCCCACTTCTTAATCTTGTTCCTATAGTTAATCAAGCTCACTTCCTCACTATCCTCTACTTTTGAATTACTTTGAATTCCTTGCCAAGTTCCAATACTAGATTATTCTCACTATCAACTTCCTCTCTCCCTACTCACCTGATGTTGAATGGAGTTTGAAGGTCACAAAACAAAGTTAACTAAGAATTACAAATTTATGACATAGGCAAGCTAACTTCAACTGAACTCTCACCCTGTAGCAAATCAATTCTTTTATTCCTCAATTCCCTATCTCTCTTACCACAGAAATTATCCCCAACCTTCACTTTTGTCCTCAGACTTCCTACTCCTTTCCATTTCTCCACCCTCTCAGCTGAAAGCCTTGCTTTACTCTATTTTGCTGAGAAAACTAAGGCCATTTGAGCTCTCTCTTCTTTTTTACCTCAACCCCCTTTACATCTCCTATTCTTGCCTTTCCTCCAATCAGATAATGTGGTGTGCCTTCTTGCCAAGGTCAGCTTCTCTACATGTACCTATCCCATTCCCCTCCCATTTTCTCCAGCAGACTTGATCCCTCAATCATTCCCCCCTCTCTCATCTTCAACCTCTTCTCTACTGGCTCCTTCTCAACTACCTTCAAATACGCCCAGTCTCTACATCCTTTACCGGTCCATAGGCCCCCACAAGCTATCATCATAGGTATCTCTCCTTTCTCAATCTAGCTTCTAGAAAAAGCTATATGCCCTCATTGCTTTCACTTCCTCTCACTTAATCCTCAAACCTTTCTATCTGGCTTTTGATCTCATCACTCAACTGAAACTGTTTTATGTATGTCCAGCAATTAGCACAGCATAAATAATAATATATGCTTGGTGATAATGATGAAGATGGTGATGATGATAATGATCTCCAAAGTTACCAGTTACAATCTCTGAACTGCCAAATTTCATGCGGTTTTTTCCTCAGACTTTATCCTCCTTGAACTTCTAGATATATTCAATACTGTTGACCACTATCTTCTCCTGGATACTGTCTCTGAGTTTTCATAACACTACTCCATCCTACTTGATATCTTCACAACATTTGACACAGTGACCACTCTCTCTCCTCTAGGTTTTCATGACACTGCTCTCTCCTAGTTCTCCTATCTGTCTGACTAATCCTTCTCAGTTCTCCTACCTAACTGATCCTTCTCTGTTTTCCTGCCCAACTGATCCTTCTTGGTCACCTTTTTTGGATTAATAAATTATGATAATAGCTGATATTAACATAACATTGACTATGTGCCAGGCACTGGGCTAAGTGCTTTACAATTATTACCTCATTGGATCCTCACAATAAGCCTGAGAAATAGGTGCTATTATTATCCTTATTTTTCAGATAAGGAAACCGAGGCAAAGCAAGGTTAAGTGACTTGCCCAGGATCACAAAGCTAATGTCTGAGCACAGATTTGAATGCAGGTCTTCCAGACTCCAGGTCCAGAGTTCTATGCACTGTGCCGTCCAGCTCTGCTCTACATAATTTCCAAAGTCCTGAATCTGTGATTCCTCCTACTCAACTAAGTCTAGTGGCTTCCTATTGCTTTTGCAATCAAAAACAAACTCTCTGGCTCATTCCAGAGAATCCCTTTCTTCTTCCAAAACACAGGTCAAGTATCATGTAGAGAAGTCTTTCCTGATCCTCCTTCAAATGTTAGTGCCATCCCTTCCTTCTTACTACCATGCACGTAAGTACATTCTATTTATTTTGTATTTATTCTGCATATACTTACTTATGTTATCTCTCTTGATAAAATGTAAACTCTTGAGAGTATTTGTATCATTCAGTACCATGCCTGGCACATGAGCAGGTACATGGTAAATGCTTGTTGATGGACTGTTGAATAATTAATAAAATACTGGATTTGCATTCCATTATAAGTTCCATATGCATATACACATATCCATTTGTACTACTGAAACTGATTTTTTAAAAACTCAAACGTAAGACTTTTTAATTAAACATTCTTCCTTGTTTATCTTCCCTACACTGTGAGTTCTCTGATAGGGAAAAGGAAGAGGGTTCGGTTCCAAGGCGAGAGGTGAATGGCTAGGATCTGCTCAGTCCCTCCTGGCTTAATGATGACTAGGCAAGGAGGACAGCTGGAGCAGGGCAGTGGCTTGCTTCTCTGGATTAGGGGAAGCAGCAGCAGGAAAAGGTGGTGGGGTCGCTACTTACCGAGGGCATCAGGAGGATCCCTAGGGGCCACAGCACCCTCCTGATGAATGGGCCAGAGGAGGGAGAAAAGCAGGGACCAAAGCTCGGCGACCTAGAAAACAGACTGGGTCAGAGGAGCGCTCGGGGGTGCTGCCCGCGCCTGCCCATCCCCCCGGCGGGTAGCCCCTAAGCCTTCTCGGCACCCGCCCCCTCTCACCGCCTCGGGGAGGTCGAACTTGGCCTTGCGGAAGGTCTCCGGGCCGAGTCCTCCACGTAAGGCACGGCTCAACGACGAGATAGCTGTGGGCAGGGCCCCGGGCCCCAAGTCTTCCCGCGGGCGCCGACCCAGCCGCCCCATCCAGAACCGCCAAGTTGCCCGCGGTTTCTTCCGCAATCACCGCGCCCAATCAGAGCGTCCCACCTTCTTTCCCCCAATCACCGGCCCTAGATGTAAACTTTGTCCCCGCCCCTAACGCTGCGAACCAATCACGGCCACAAATTCTCAAGGGGCCTGGCAACTAGTTTAGGAGCAGGTTTGGAAGGTCTTGGAGAGAGGTCTTGCTAAGAAGCTGCAGAAAAGGTCGCTGGGTGTTAGGATGGACCAAGCATGAGCTGCCCTGACTCAGCCCTATTGTCAAACACCATACAGTCTTCCCAAGTCTTAGAGCTCTGCTCAAACCAACTTCATTGTATTTAACTACTTGTGGCACTAGGTGGCGCGGTGGATAAAGTATCAGGACCTCAGACACAATAGCCGTGTGACCCTAGAAAAATCACTTAAACGGTCTCAGTTTCCTCATCTGTAAAATGGGGATAATAATAGTACCTACATCGCAATGTTGTTGTCAAAGTTAAAGGAGATAATAATTGTAAAGCACTTAGCACAGTGCCTGGCACTATAATTACTAAATAAATGTGACATATATACGTATATATATGGAGAGAGAAAGAATATTGTTGATGGACTTGAATAATTAATAAAATACATATAATAATATATTTATCCTATATATGATTTTATGTATATATATATATATATAAAATACTTGTTTAACCCTTGTTGTCTCTCCCTTTAGAATGTAAGTCCCTTTACAGTATGGATTGTATCATTCTTTGTACTTGTTGCCTGGCACATAATTGGTGTCTAATATTTATTGATTGGATGATTGATTTATTCAAACCAATTCAATTTGATAAACACTTATCTGTCACTCCTGGGAAAAAGATACTCTCCCCTCAAGGAACTTATAATCTACTAGTGAAGGTTAGTTGGAAGAAAACATGTACATATGAGATGGTTCACAGAGATCCAGGCAAAATCCCTTGAGAAATTTTGTTTTGTTTTTCCACGATATAATATTTATTATTAATATTAATTTATTTTAAACATTCTTTTTTTTTCAGTTTCAAATTCTCTTCCTCCCTCCAGACTCTCCTGCACCCATTGAGAAGGCAAGAAATATAATAACCATTGTACATGTGAAGTATTTCCTTATTAGCCATGTTGCAAAAAAAAAAAAAATTTGTGAAGAAACAAATATAGGGGGCAGCTAGATGGTGCAGTGGATAGAGTACCGGCCCTGAATTCAGGAAGATCTCAGTTCAAATGTGACCTCAGACACTTGACACTTACTAGTTGTGTGACCTTGGGCAAGTCACTTCACTCCATTGCCTTGTTAAAAAAAAAAAAAGAAACAAATATAAATAAAGTGATAAAAGTATGCTTCAATCTGCACTCAGAGCTCATCAATTCTCTTTCTGAAGGTAGAGAACACTTTTCATCATGGGACCTTGGGAATTATGACATATCATTGTACTGATCAGAGTAGCTAAGTCTTTCACTTATATTGCTATGCCCAGTAAAGTTAAGCATAATCCTGAGTGAAAATAAATGGACATTTGATAAGCATAATCCTGAATGAAAATAAATGGATATTTGATGAACTGTCAGACTTCCAAGACTTTGTTAAAAAAAAAAATACAACCTGAACTTAAAAGAAGATTTGACATACAAGAACCAAGAGAAACAAGGTACATACCAAAGACTGATTAAAAGGAATTCAATAAGAACAGACGGTTTATTTTTTATATATGTAAAATGTAAAATGAATGTCCAAGATTGTCATTAGTAATTGGGTAATTCATAGGAAAGATTGGGGTAGACCTGAGTATGATATGACTTTAAAAAGTAAAACAGCTAAAAAGAGTAATTTGTTTTTACAAATGAAGTACAAGAGGAAGAAGAGATACAGAGGAATTCGATGGGGGAGGAGGGCTGGTAGTTCTGGGAACCTACTTTCATCGGGAATGGGTTTAAGAGAGAACAATACATATATACATATATATATCTAGAAGAGTATAAAAGTCTTCTAAATTCAGAAGAATAAAATGGTAAGGTGATAGGGAAGCAGGGAGAGGACAAGAGAGAGGAGGGGGAGGGAATAGGTTAAAGGGGGTATAGAAGGGTATTTAGATCAATGGGAATGGGAGAATAAGAGAGGGATCTCTAGAGGGGAAGGTGAGGGAATAGGTTAGAGGGGGCTAGAGAAGGGTATTTAGATTTGTGGGAATAGGAGGATAAGGGAGGGATCCTTGGAGGGGGGAGTAGGTTAAATAATAGGAGAGCAATGTAGCAGTAGAAGTAAAGAAGAGGAGTCAAGTGGGATAGGAAACAAAAGATATGCACAAACATAAAAACAAAGATCAGGAGTAGAATTTGTTATGGAAAGATATGTCTATATATGTGGGTATATATGTGTATATGTGTATATGTCTATGTATATATCTTTATATACAAGTATATCCACACTTAATTGTGGGGGAGAAGGAAGGGGGAAAAAGAACAAAGTAAAAAGTGCACAGCAGAGAACAAAAGAAAATTTAAAAGGAAGCAAAGAAAAGATGGATAGCTCTCAACACAATGTGTAGTATTTATCACACAGGCTTTCTTGAAATGAAAATTTGTCATTGAATCCTCTTATGTTCTGCTATGCACACGACATGCTTTTTTTTTTCTTTTCTTACTTTGTATTTAAGTTGCAGTATTTAAGTTTGTGATATCTTTTTTTTTTCCTTTTCTCTATTCTGTATTTGTATTCTGGTGTTGGAGTCTAAAAGTTTTTAAAAAATATTGCTGTCACCATATATAGTGTTCTCCTGGTTCTGAAATCACTTTACATCAGTTTATATAAGTCTTTCCAGGTTTTTCTAGAGAAACCATCCTTTTCATTATATCTTATAACACAATAGTATTCTGTCAAAATCACATACCACAACTTGTTCAACCATCTCCAATTGATGAGCATCCCCTCAATTTCCAATTCTTTGCCACCATAAAAAGAGCTGCTGTAATTATTTTTGTATATGGGGGTCCTTTTCTCTTTTCTTTGATCTCTTTGGGATACAGACCTCGTAGTAAAATTGCTGGGTTTTGAGTATGCAGTTTTATAGCCCTTTGGGCATAGTTAGAAATTGTTTTCCAGAACGATTGGACCAGTTTATAATTCCACCAACAGTACATTAGTGGACTTATTTCTCCACATCCCATCCAGCATTTGTCATTTTTTTCCTTTTCTGTAATGTTAGCCAAGGTGATAGGTGTGAGGTGGTACCTCAGAGTTGTCTTAATTTGCATTTTTCTACTTAGTGGCAATTTAGAGCATTTTTATATGACTATTGATAGTTCAATTTCTTCTTCTGAAAACTGCCTGTTTATATCCTTTGACTATATGTCAGTTGGAAGATGGCTGTAATTTTTAAAAAATTTGACTCATTTTCCTATATATTTAAGAAATGAGACCTTTATAAGAGAAATTTATTGTCAAAAAAATTTCCCAGTTATCTGCTTTCCTTTTAACTTTGGCTGCATTGGTTTTGTTTGTGCAAAAAGTTTTTAATTTCATGTAATCAAAATTATCCATTTTATTTCTCATGACTCTCTCTCTCTCTCTCTCTCTCTCTCTCTCGTTTGGCCATAAACTCTTCCCTTATCCATAGATCTGACAGGTAACTTTTTCCATACTCCCTTAATTTTTTTATGATATGTAGCCATTTTGACATTATCTTAGTATTCAATGTGAAATGTTGGTCTATGCCCAGTTTCTGTCAGACTGCTTTCCAGTTATCCCAGAGGTTTTTGTCAAATAGTGAGTTCTTGCTGCCTCCCCAAAAACAAAATTGAATCTTTGGGTTTATGAAACATTAGGTTACTGTGGTCATTTACTTCTATATATTTTGTGCCTATTCTATTCCACTCCAATGTCACAGACCTCTCCTTCCAATCTCTTAAGTTGTCTTAGGCTAGAAAAAATGTCTTACCTCTACAATTTGTTTGACTGTGTCTCTGCAGAATTCAATTTGAGGTGTTATTTTAAAGTTGTTTGGAGAGGAATGTTGAGAGAGCTTGGCTATAGTATTTCCTCTACTACACCATCCAGGCTGTACCTAGGCTGCGAGGTTTTAAAGTAAGCTCAGGGCAGTTTTGGCTTTAAGCTTTGGCAATCTGAGGGCAAGTGGAGATGATGTGAAACACTGCATAAGCAGGGCATAGAGATGACCAAGATGGAATTCAGCTTTGTTAACCAAGGCAAACGGGTCATGTCTGGGGCTAAGCCAAAAAGTGGTTCTGATGATGCTGAGCTTTCCAATTTCTTTGAGAGAGCTCATTTGGATGATAATATTTCCTTTTTTTCCTTTTCCTTTTTTCTTTCCTTTTTTTCTTCACTTTCTCCCACCAGAAAAGTGTATGTTAAAAAAAATTCAAAATTTTCCTGTTCTTCAGAGATACACTGATCATTTACGTTCAATTAGTTTTGAATTTGCCAGCTGTATAAAATTATTGATCATAACTGCCCTTCATTTGTGAATGGAAAGGCAGAAAAAAGAGAATAGTGACTGGAAAATATGAGAGAGAGATTAAAGTTCAAACCTTTTTGATTCTATCCTGATTGGGAGTTCCTACACTAAATGAAAGAGAATCTTAAGGAATGTGTGTTGTATAACTTTCCCAAACCAGAGCAAAAGATTAATTTAATATTTTCCTCTGGGAAAAGTCTGAGTCATAAGTAAGCAGATTTAAGTGATGGAAGAGGGCTGGCTTGGTAAATACGGAAGATATTTTCTCCAAATTTAGGCACTTAAGTCAAATTTACTCACCTCCAGCAGAGCCTGGGTCAGGAGTGAAGGTGTTGTCTAAGAGAAAGTCATCCCCCTCCCTGGCTAAAATGAAGAATTGGGAAAGTGTTACTTCACCCACATGAAGGTGGAGGCCAGCTAAGAAGGAGTAACTATTTTACCTCTAACCACCTCCAACCTCATCTACTACTGCTACTTAAGGATTTAACATAAATGTTTTCTGTGTCCTTGGC